GAAAGGATGTGAAGGGTAAACAAAAGGAGGAGGCTGCAATGCTTGGTAAGAAATGTACGCATTATCCTGCCCATGTAATTGTAACCCCTCTGTACAGTATCTTCACAAATAAAATAAAAAAAAAGAAAAGTTAAGCCATTTGGTACTAACTATAAATAGTAGTTTAGGATGATTTTGTAGACTATAAAATTGTTATTTTGAATGAAGGTAGGAAAGGAGCTGCTTTGAAAATGGGAAATGAAAGCTGACCTGTAGGTCTGCCTATAGTCCCATCTACTATGGAGGCTGAGGTGGGAAGATGATTTGAGCTGAGGAGACAAAATAGCTGATTCATATTTCTCTCTGTCTCTGTGTCTCTCACACACAAATGAAAGGGGAAAAAAAGGAAGTGGTTGGCTAGACATAAGAGACTGACATTAGAGACATGTGAGGATGAACTTTAGCTCCTCATGTGGAAGTAATTAATTAAATACAGTTATGAGGACTGTTACAAAATAGAAAACTGTCTTCTGCTTTTATGTTGTTTATTGAGCAAAACCAGTATTTTACAGTTCTTGAGGAAAATAGTAAGATTTACAAGGTTTTTAAACACAGGTTAATGTTTGAAAAGTCAATATGTTATTTACAGGTAAATTTATTGGGTAGATTAAGCAGAAGCCAATAACTAGTTATTTGTTCCTTGAAGTATTTACTGATGTCCATGTGTCATGTCTATGTGTCAGTGTGGGATACTGGGGATGTAGGGATGTGATAGTAAAAACAGACATAGTTCCTCTCATCTAGTAGAAAAGACTTTAAGGCTGAAAATGTCACTCAGGGGTAAAAGTGACTAGTAAGCACAAGATTCCTAGTTCAAACCCTAATACTGCCAAAAAAAAAAGACTTGAATCAAATAATACAAATTAGTCTATAATTTACAGTTTGACATGAGAGCTAGGAAAGGAAAGATGAACCTGTATAAAAGTTACTAACAAAACTAATCTAGAATAAGAAATTAATCCTTCACCTAAGATCTGGAGAGCTCTTAAGTAGGAAGTTACTAAGTTTTCCAGTCAAATCTCAATACTTGTAGGATAAAGCCTAAATATTCTTTTTTTTTTTTTTTTTGGTCAGTTGTGGAGCTTGAACTCTGGGCCTGGGCGCTGTCCCTCAGCTCTTTAGCTCAAGGTGAGCGCTCTACCACCTGAGCCACAGCTCTACCACTTGAGCCACAGCACCATTTCTGGTTTTCTGAGTGGTTTTATTGGAGATAAGAGTGTCACAGAGTTTCCTGCCCGGTCTGGCTTTGAACCGTGATCCACAGATCTCAGCCTTCAGAGTAGCTAGGATTACAGGTGTGAGCCACTGATGCCTGGTTAAATATTCTTTTAGGCAGTTTATACAACAAGTATTTCAGTATTATAATATAAGTATGAATTTATACAATAATTTTATGTTCTTTTTACTCTGAAAGCTATTCTTTAATTTTTAATTATATTTTAAATTATTAAAAATAAAACCTGTAAACATACCTCTAGAACATAACTGCTCTTAATTTTTTCATGTATATCCTTCTAGTTGTGTGTGTTGTAAACTATTTGGATCAATACTTATTTCTATAAATTTTTCATTTAGCATGTAAACAGGTCATTGTTTCTTAAAATGTTCTTCAAACCATATATATGTATGTGTGTGCATATATACATATAGATGTATAAATACACTTTTTTTTGTACTGAACTTTCAATTCAGGACCTGTAACTTGCTAGTAAGGTTCTAAAACAGTTGAGCTATACTCCTCCCTTTTTTCTGCTCAGTTCAGTGATCCTCCCTACCACAGCTGGATGACAAATGCACGCTATTATACCCAGCTTTTTTTGTTGAGATGAAGTCTTGATAACTTTGCATGGATCTAACTTTTCACTGGATCTTCCTGACCTCCACCTCTCAAGTAGCTGGTATTTAAGCCATCAACAACTGCATACGTGGCTCAAAACATGATTTTCATTGGTTGCTTATTATACTATTGAGTTGAAGCTGTACCACTAACTTAGAACTCTTTGCTACAATTGAATATGAAATGACTTACAGTTTTTTACCTTTGCAAGCACAATATACACTTAATGCTTTTTTTTTTTTTTTGGGTCCGGTCTTGGGGCCTGAACTCTGGGCCTTGGCTCTGTCCCTCAGCTCTTCAGCTCAAGGCTAGCACTCTACCACTTGAGCCACAGCGCCACTTCCGGTTTTTTTCTTTTTGCTTATGTGGTGCTGAGGAATCGAACCCAAGGGCCTCAGGCATGCAAGGCAAGCACTCTACCACTGAGCCACCTTCCCAGCCCCACTTAATGCTTTTTAGTGCTTGGGATGAACCTTGGGTCTTGTTCTTACCAGGCAAGTCCTGTGCCACAAGCAGATATATAGCTCTCTGCAGTATATATCTTATGCAAAGTTTTTTTACTTCTGGATATATTTTACATTTTAATTCTTTTGTAAATATGCAAACTTATTTCTAGGGCACTTATTTTCAAACTAATAGTTGTTATTTTGACTAAACACCCCAAAAGGGAATTAATACCTGGATTAATACTCTTTCTTTTTTCCTTTCTCTTTCCCTACCTCCCTTCTTCCTTCTCTCCCTTCCTCCCTTCCTACTTCCTTCCCTCCCTCCTTCCTTCCTTTCCCTTCCTTCCTTCCTTTCTTCCCTCCCTCCAGCCCTCTCCCTCTCTCTCACTTTTTTTTTCTTTCTTTGTGTATGTCAATACTGGGCTTGAACTCAGGGCCTGTGCTTTTTTTTTTTTTTTGTGGTCGATTGTGGGGCTTGAACTCTGGACCTGGGGCTGTTCCTGAGCTTTTCAGCTCAAGGCAAGCACTCTACCACTTGAGCCACAGTGCCACTTCAGTTTTCTGGAGGTTAATTGGAGATAAGAGTCTCAAGGACTTTCCTCTCTGGGCTGACTTGAACCCTGATCCTCAGATCTCAGCCTCCTGAGTAGCTAGGATTACAGGCATGAGCCACTGGTGTCTGGCTTCCTTGTACTTTTTTTAACTCACATTTGAACAAACCTGCAGTCCAGCATTTTTGCTGGTTAATTGAAGACAGAATCTCATAAACTTTTTTGCGTGGGCTAGCTTTGAAATGAGATCCTCAGATCTCTGCCTCTTGAGTAGCTAGGATTATAGATAAGAGACACTGTTCCAGGTTGTATGTTTTTGTGTGTTTTCTGCTTTTGGGGCTTGAACTCAGGGTCTATGCACTGTCCCTGAGTCTTTTTGCCCAAGGCTAGTGTTCTACAGCTTGAGCCATAGCTCCAATTCCAGCTTTTTTGGTGGTTAATTGGAGATAATGAATCTCAGACTTTCCTACTGTCTTTGAACCATGTCAATCTTCTGAGTAGGTAGGACTACAGGCATGAGCCACCAGCACCTGGCTTAAATAGTACATAGTTTTTAGATGTCTGCTACTTCATATAGATGACAAGTCTACTTGGATTCTCTTGTTAGCTGTCCCTTATAATTTGTTTTATTTAATAAACCAAAATCCCAAACAATGTTTTCTTCTTTTGGGAGAAAGAAGGGAAAGTCAGATAATTCTTAAATATATTTAAAGGGATAGTTGAATTAAATAGGTCTGCTAATTTGCATGTAGAGGAGAGATCATTTGCATAATTATCTTACTAATTTAATCTGTAAGTTTTGACTTCTGTTGAAAATTTATATTTTAATAAGAGACCCATAATTTGTATAGGAGGTAGAATGCCTTTATTGGGAAATAGTAGATTTAAATGAATTAAATCTTAAGAATTCTTGAGCTAAATGGGATTATTTATACTTTTATTCCTTTTCTACTTTTATTCTAGTGAGGAGGAAAAGTAATAATAATAAATTAGGCTAACAATAATATTGTTCTGAGTTTTCTTTAATCAGAATGTTAAAATATACTTTTAAAAAGTTCTTTTTTAGCCGGGCGCCGGTGGCTCACACCTGTAATCCTAGCTACTCAGGAGGCTGAGATCTGAGGATCACAGTTCAAAGCCAGCCCGGGCAGGAAAGTCTGTGAGACTCTTATCTCCAATTAACCACTAGAAAACCGGAAGTGGCATTTTAGCTTAAGAGGTAGAGTGCTTGCCTTGAGCTGAAGAGCTGAGGAACAACAGTGCCCAGGCCCAGAGTTCAAGCCAACCGACAAAAAAAAAAAAAAGTTCTTTTTTAAGGGAAAAATGGGTTAAGCAAGAGAAAGCATGTCCAAAAAGAAATGTACTCTTATGTAACTGTAACCCCTTTATATATCACCTTTATAATATATAAAAAAACTGTTTTTGAAGTAATCTTATCATGATAGTAATTGCATAATGTACAGTTACATAATTAGAAAAAATTTTCCCCTCCTTTCCTAGGTTTATTTCTAAAGTTGAAGAAGTCCTGAATGACTGGAAACTGATTGGAAACTCTGTGGGAAGGCCACTTGAAAAGGTCAGATCTATTTATTAGTGTCTCTAAATTGGTATTTATTTTGAAACTTACATGTTTAATCCTTTTCCTGCACTTGCCACATTTGAATTAAATGTTTAGAAATTATGCACATAGGCGCTGAGTTCAAGCTCAGACCTAGCACCAAAAAAAAAAAAGTTACATATAGTGTATAAACACCAAGTAGCATCTGGAAGAATTTGGATTTGAATTTATAGCAAATACTATGTGAAAGACTTTTGCAAAATCTTTAAAAAATAATATATGTTGGGTCTGCTGGCTCAGTAGTAGAGTGCTTACCTTGCATGCATGTGGCCCTGGGTTCAATTACTCAGTACCACATAAGCAGAAAAAAAAAGCTGGAAGTGGCGCTGTGGCTCAAATGGTAGAGCACAATCTTGAGCTGAACATCTGAGGGACAGCACCCAGGTCCAGATTTCAGGTCCCATGACTGATCCGGAAAAAAAAAAGTCATTTTTGTGCCAGTTTTCTTTTTATTTGATACTTATCTTTCACCTTATTTCTTGGAATGTGAAATGTCTTTTTTCAAAGTTTTTTCATCAGGAAAATTGGGCTTTTTATTTCTTGGGTAGAATATTTTGTTTAATGAGGAAAAACCTTGGTGTTAAAACTCATAACCTGCAATTCATAGCTCTCATGCTTTATAACTAGGAGTAACCTTTTTTTAACATATAAATGTTTTGAGGATTTTATGTAAGAATGAAAAAAGCAGTGTTAAAATTGAGGTGAGGGGCTGGGAAGGTGGCTCAGTGGTAGAGTGCTTGCCTTGCATGCATGAGACCTTGGGTTCGATTCCTCAGTACCACATAAGCAAAAAGAAAAAAAAATCCGGAAGTGGTGCTATGGCTCAAGTGGTAGAGCGCTAGCCTTAAGCTGAAGAGCTGAGGGACAGTGCCCAGGCCTAGAGTTCAGGCCTCAGGACCGGACTCAAAAAAAAAAAAATTGAGGTAAAACTCAAATTCTAATTCAAGATTATGATTTTTTACTATAAACCACACTACAAATGTATTAGAAGCAGATATTCTGAGAACAAATCTTGATTTTCTCAGTTCACTAAGGATATTAACAATTTAATACTGTGTACTGTCTTAGTTTGTTAAATTCGTATAAAGTAAAATTCATCATTTTGTTATTGTAATCTCTTATTTAATAATAATAATATAATTGGCATTGTAAGCCCTTTAAGAACTCAATTTTCAATATTTACCAAGGTTTTCTAGCATTATGGTGGTCACAGAATTTGAATCTATGAATCTGTTATCTATAGAATATAAGCAGATAAAGCAACCCTAGAAAGTATACATCATTTTAAGATTTGTGGGAATATACAGAGTAAATTTATATTCTGTGTCAAAATATTTTTTTGTGTTGATTTTTCATTAAAGAGAAAATGCGAAGTTCTCAACAGATCATTCTATTGTACTTACTGCAAACACATAACATAATTGATGTCTTCTAAGATTAAAGGCAAAATAAGCTAGATATTACCTGGAAGAGGAAAAAAGACTAAAAAAACTTTTTTCATTGTCATTATAAAAGTGATGTACCGAGGGTTACAGTTACGTAAGACTGGTAAAGAGTACATTTCTTTTTGGAAAGTGTCATCCTTGGAAAAAAGATTGGTATTACCGAAAAAGTGTGTGTGTGTGTGTGTGTGTATGTGTGTGTACACATGCACATATACATATGTATATTTATTTGATAGTAAAACATTAAGTTTATTGGAAGAAAAAGTACAGACTTCATAGAGGGGAGCTCTAGAGAAGGGAGTCCATTAAATTTCCCCCACGGAAGCAGCTTTTATGTTTTATTAATTCTCCTCCCCCCAGGACATGATTGGTCAGTGTCCCTTATTGGCCTCTGCCATTGGGCATGTCTACTCCAGGTTTTTTAAATTGTTCTTGCTTTCCTTTCTTGTTTGTTTTTGTTCTTTTCTTTTTTGATAAGATTGGAGAGCCTGAGTAGCTTCTGAGATACTCCTGCTTCAGCCCCAAGTGCTGATCAATAGGTTCTTTTTTGCTGTTGTTGTTGGTCATGGGTCTTGAACTCAGGGGCTAGGTGCTATCCCTGAGCTTTTTTGCTCAAGGCTAGAGTTCTACTACAGTGCCACTTCCAGTTTCCTGGTGATTAATTGGAGACAAGTCTCATGGATTTTCCTGCACAGGCTGGCTTTGTACCACAATCCTCAGATCTCATCCTCCTGACTAGTTAGGATTATAATTTGTGAGCATCAGCACCCATCTTTTGCTGTCTTTTTCTTTTTGGTGAGGATAATAAAAGATGTAACTCAGTTGACCCAGTAATGTACGTAACAATGGTTATGGTAGTTTGCAGATTCATTTATTCATATACATGACACATAGCTTGTTTGTTGTCAGTAAATTTTTGTTGAATCTCTCTCAAAAATATATGATTAATCCCTTGAATTAGAGAAAATAAATATAAACAGATTATATATTCAGCTGATTGTATGTTTTGTTAAAATGTGACATTTTTAAAACCTTATATAAAGGGCAGACATTTTTCCTAGATAGTTTAATACATTTTTATTTTTCTACATTTAGTTTCATAAGCAACTATGAAACAGGTTCTTTTTTTCTCTTTTTCTCTTTCAAGTATAAATTTAGTAATTTGATGCTTTTTTTCTAATTAGTTTTTTTTCTAAATTTATATATATTGTAATTGGTTTGTTTTATGGATGAGTCTTTTTCTAAAAAGTAGTAAACGTGAGAAATTCAGTTGTATTTTTCTACAAGGAATAAATCTTTAAAATCAGATATTTGGATAGTTCATATATATTAAATTTTCCTCCCGACTTCTGACTCAAGTTACAAAAGACTTCTTCCTTTCAGCTATTCCCTTTTGTTCATTTATTTGTTTTATGCATTTGTCATTTGTTCATTGGTAGAGTGCCTAGAGAGCACTAGAAACTTCTTCCTCACTTGCTGCTTATCAAAATAGTTTTCCACTTCCATTCCCCACTTTCAGGTTGTTAGGTTTTCTTTCCTTTGTTCCATGGTCATTGTTTTTTCTTTTTATTTTCCTTTGGAGTGCTGGAAATTGAACCAAGGAAATTCAGTATGCTAGGAAAATACTGAGTTGTGTTACTAGCTCTTTCTCCATGGCCGTTTTGTCCATGCTCCTTCTCTTTGTTCTTTCAGAAAGGTAGATATAAACTAGTGATATGGAGATGTTCAGGCATTTAATCCGAATCAGATCCTTCAACTCATTTGTTTATGAAAATTATATTTTTGGGGTGCTAGTGGTTCACGCTTGTTATAGTAGATATTCATCAAGTAGAAATTGGGTGAATCACAGTCAAGGCCCAACAGTCAAGGCCCAATGGGGCCTTGAGACTCTGTGTCAACAGAAAAAAGCTGTATATGTTGGCACTTACTTGTCTCATCTGTCATTCCACTTAAGGGAAGATTTCTGTTAAGGGCTAGTCTCAGCAAGACCATATCAAGTAAAAGGGCTGGAGATGTTACAATATATCTACCTACCATGATGCCCTGAGTTCAAACCCCAGTACTACCAAAACCAAAATTGTATTAGAAACTGGATTTATCATATTGTAAAAATTATATTTCATCCAGGTTAAAGGATTCATAACTCCTTATAGCTAGAAGGGCTTTAAGCATCCTATATAAATGAAGTTCTTAGTCCACAGACTTTGTCTCATTAAACTGTATGTGTGGTTAATTTTGAATAAGACTATAATTTACTTGGGAGGGGGATCTGCAACATTCATTATATCCTTAAAAGGAGCCTCTGAAAACGGTTATTTTTGAATTACTATAGTTTTTAGAAGAACACATTCTGGTTTGATAGAAATTGTAGGTTTATGTAGAAAACATAGCTTGTTATCACATCTTGGCCTGAGATTGATTGATTGATTGATTGATTTAAGATGGTCTTACTGGCTAGCCCAGGTTGAAATTGAACTCTCCATTCTCTTGCTTCAGATTCTTCTAGTGCTAGTATTAAAGATGTATACCATCATGCCTGGTAGACAAATAATTTTGTCTTTAATGCCTCTGTATTTTTTTTTTTTTTTTGGTTATGAATCTTGAACTCAGAGACTGGGCTCTGTCCCTGAGCTTTCTTGCCCAAGGCTAGCACTCTACTACTTTGAGCCTCAGTGCTGCTTCCAGTTTTCTGGTAGTTGATTGGAGATGAGTCTCACATAATTTCCTGCCTGGGAACAGCATTCCTAGATCTCAGCCTCCTGAGTCATTAGTATTACAGGTGTGAGCCACCAGTGCCCAGCTTGTATTTTTTTTTTTTTCTTAAAGCGTTTTCTGGAAGTGGCTCTGTGGCTCAAGTGGTAGAGGGCTTGCCTTGAACAGGGGCAGCACCCAGGCCCAGAGTTCAAGCCCCACAACCAACAAAAACAAAAAAAATGCATTTTCTGTATTTTTAAAACACATATTCTGCCCATAGAGCTTCAGGATTTGCTATCCCTTAAAAGCTGTTTTGTTATGTTTTGTTTTTTGCCAGTCCTGGGGCTTGAACTCAGGGTCTGGGTGCTGTCAATGAGCTTCTTTTGCTCAAGGCTAGCACTCTACCACTTGAGCCACAGCACCACTTCTGGCTTTTTCTGTTTATATGATACTGAGGAATGAAACCCAAGGCTTCATGCATGTTAGGCAAGCTCTACCACTATCCCACATTCCCAGCCTAGCCCTTAAATGTTTAATGCTCCAAAATTACTTACTTCTTTTCTTGCTCCTGGTTTGTACTTTCACCCTCCTGTCCCAAGAGTTGGCATAGGTTTTTTTTTTTTTTGTCAGTTGTGGTCTTGAACTCAGGGCCTGGGTGCCTTCTCTGAGCTCTTTTGCTCAAAGCTCTTGCTTTACCACGGTGAACTACAGTTCCACTTCCACGTTTTTAGTGGTTAATTGGAGATAAGAATCTCTCATGGACTTTTCTGCTAGGGCTGGCTTGGAACCATGATCCTCAGCTCTCAACCTCCTGAGCAG